GAAACGGAGTTTCGTTCTTGTTGCCCAGGCTGGAGCGCAATGGCGTGGTCTCGGCTCACTGCAACTTCTGCCTCCCAGATTCAAGCAATTCTCCTGCCTCAGCCTTCCAAGTAGCTGGGATTACAGGCACACACTACCATGCTCAGCTAATTTTTTTTTTTTTTTTTGTTTTGTTTTGTTTTGTATTTTTGGTAGAGACGGGATTTCACCATGTCGGCCAGGTTGGTCTCAAACTCCTGACCTCAGGTGATCGCCCATGTTGGCCTCCCAGAGTGCTGGGATGACAGGAGTGACCTACCGCGCCTGCCTGACTTCTGCATTCTTTAAGCTCTCCAGGTGATTCCAGGGTGCAGAAGTGCTATCTAGCTCATCTTTGCTCAAGGCCAACTTATTATACCTCAGCTGCTTCCCTAAAGGATGCTCTTGTAAAGTCCACTCCTTGCTTGGCTCTTCCTGATGAGCTTTGCATCTGTTTTATGTGATTGTAGGCCTGACAGCCGCCAGAGAAGAGGGAATACTAAGCAATGGGAAGCAGGAGCCAGAAGGTCTCAAATGAGGGATCAGGGATTTCTTTTTTTGAGACAGGGTCTCACTCTGTCATACAGGCTAAAGAGCAGTGGCAAGATCACGGCTCACTGCAGCCTCAACCTCCCAGGCTCAAGCGTTCCTCTCTTCTCAGCCTCCTGAGCAGCTGGGACTACAGACATGCACCAGCACGCCTGGCTAAATTCCGTATTTTTTGTAGAGATGGGGTTTTGTCATGTTGTCCAGGCTGCTCTCAAACTCCTGGGCTCAAGTGATCCACCCACCTCAGCCTCCCAAATTGCTCGGATTACAGGTGTGAGCCACTGTGCCTGGATGGGATTAAAGTAGAGATTTCTAACATTATAGAAAGAATGAAGGAATAGCCAGACTGCTCTCAGGATGGAAGGACTCAAAAGGCAGGAAATAGAACTGGAGGTGATTTTTAAAGTCATGGTTCAGCTCTAAGGCACTGGTCTCAATGCAAAGTCCTACATCTAATTTAAATTTGAAGGACAGTGAATATTCACCTGTTCATGTTTCTAGGCTCAACTGTAGAAGGGGCTTTCCTTCCTCCTTCCCCATTCCTTTCTCCCCATTTCTAATTCTCTGTATCCTCCTCTTTTTCTTTTTTCGTCTGTCCCCCCCTCTCTCTTTCTCCCCCTCCAGTTGCCGTCTCTGCCTGTCTTTGCCCTTGTCTCCTGTCCATGTCTCTCTCCCTCTAATTTTCCATTCCTCACTTCTGCTCCACCCCACCCCCTCCCCCAACTCTTCCTCTCTGTCTTCCTGTGAGTGTTTGTGTCTCCCTGTCTGTCTCTCTTCTCTCTGGTCTCTTTTCTTCCCACTCTGTGTCTCTGTTTCTGTGTCTCTCTTTGTATCTCTGGCACTCCCTGTGTCTCTGCGTCTCTCTGTCTCCATTTCTCTGTCGCTCTCCACATATTTGTCTCTCAGTCTCTATTTCTACCTGTTTCTCTCCCCTCATGCCTTACTCTCTCCTGGATGTCTGCAACTCACTTGTGCGTGCAAGTCTCTCCCCCTCTCCTCTCTCTCTCTTTTTCTTTCTCTTTATCTGTGTGTGTGTGTGTGTTTCCCTGTCTCTTTCTCCTGATTTCCTTCTCTCCTGGTCCCCCTGTCCCTTTGGGTGCATATACATATGCATGCCTGTGTGTATGCATGTCTGCATGTGTGTGCATGCGTGTGTGTGTGCACATCTGTGTGTGCATGTTTGTGTATGCATGCATGTGTGTTCATGCATGGCTCTGTGTATGCGTGTGTGCATGCATGTCTATATGTGCATGCACATGTGTGCATGTCTGTGTGTGCATGCATGTGCATGTCTCTGTGTGTGTGTATGCGTGTGCATGTCTGTGCATGCGTGCATGCATGCATGTGTGTAGAGGTGTCTGGGTCTCCATTTATTTCTCAGTCTCCTCTCTGTTCCTTTCTTTGTCTCTGTCTCATTCTTTTCCTTTCCCTAACTCTCTTTCTCTGCTTCTCTCTCTGTTTCTCTCTCTCTGTAGCTCTCTTGGTCACCCACACATGACTGTGTTTGTTCCACACCAGGCCTTTTGTCTACCTGACCTTCATTTTTGTAATGACTTGCAGGGAGAGGCCTTGACTAAGCTCAGCTCCACCTACAGATACCTGCATTTTCCCAACTGACTGAGAGGGCGGAGGCTGCTGGAGAAGCGTGAGAGAGGCCTTGGGTGCACACACAGCCTGGTTTCTTTCTTAATTCCTCCAAACTCAATGATCTTGCCTGCATGCTTGGAGTCGACTTGGGGATGCATTGGGGTGCTGGCACCCCACTGCCAGGAAAGAGCAGTCTGTGCAGGCATCTGGGTGGGGTGGGGTGGGGGTTACCGGAGCCACTGGGGTCTGGCTTCCTCTCTGGCTTCATCCCTTTCATGACGCAGATGCTCTCCATGACCAGCTTGACAGGGCCTGGTGGGTTCTGCATCGACTTCACCAGTGAGATGTCGGCCGGGTTCAGGGTGTCCAGAGCAGCTAGTGCAGCCTCGAGCGCAGGCATTGCCTCAGCTAGATCGCCCTCACATTCGTTCTGTGGGCAGCACGAGGACAAAGGAGATGAGTGCCCAGGGCCTGGCACACTGGGGGCAAAGCAGAGCTTCACTCCTACATGAGGAATCAGGAAGAGGTGCTTCCTCTTCCTCTTCCAGATCCCCTTTAACACGGTGCCTGCCCCTGAAGCTGGACAATGGCTCTGAGCGTTAACCAGCAGCCGGAACACATGCATGGCCTTTTGGGGCTGTGGTCTGGATGTTCCGAACATCTGAGCATTCAACTTATTTGCTTTTTTGGCCGGGCGCGGTGGCTCATGCCTATAATCCCAGCACTTTGGGAGGCCGAGGCGGGTGGATCACTTGAGGTCAGGAGTTCAAGACCAGCCTGGTCAACATGGCAAAACCCTGTCTCTACTAAAAATACAAAACTTAGCCGGGCGCGGTGGCGGGCGCTTGTAATCCCGAGTGGAGGCTGAGGCAGAAGAATCGCTTGAACCCGGGAGGCGGAGGTTGCAGTGAGCTGAGATTTTGCCATTGCACTCCAGCCTGGCCATCAAGAGTGAAACGCTGTCTAAAAACAAAAACAAAAGACAAAACCAAAAAAACTCACATAGACGTTGTTACCACATTTGTTTCTATGCTAAAAACATAATAATTTAAAGTTGCCCCTGAGTCTTAGCATGAAAAGAGCAATAGGATTGTTTGAGAGGTATGGAGTTCAGGACAATGTGGCGAAAAGTAATCAGATCGCAGTAATTTTGGTATCACTCATCATCCTCATTAGGGGGGAAAGAAATAATTGGAAAGAATTGACCAACGTAAGCAAATCATTATGCTCGTGAATCAAGTGTTGGTGACCTGATTCTTGCTTTTCCAGTCTCTTTGTCTTCCCAGTATGGATTTCTTTTCCTTTTTTTTCTTTTCTTTTCTTTCTTTTCTTTTTTTTTTTTTTTTTGACAGAGTCTCGCTCTATCATCCAGGCTGGACTGCAGAAGCGGTGTGATCTCGGCTCACTGCAACCTCTGCTTCCCGGGTTCAAGCAATTCTCGCACTTCAGGCTCCCGAGTAGCTGGGACGGCAGGCGCCCGCCACCAGGTCTGACTAACTTTTGTTTTTTTAGTATAGATGAGTTTTCACCATGTTGGCCAGGCTGGTCTCGAACTCCTGACCTCAGGTGATCCACTCGTCTCGGCCTCCCAAAGTGCTGGGATTACAGGCATGAGCCTCCGTGCCCAGCCATACTTTTGAGTTTCTAACAAATCACCTTTTTTTTTTCTTTTTTGGTAAAGAGCAGGGAACTCACTTTTTCTCCATATAAAGAAACACTAAAATTTATGTTTCTTAAAGGGAAATTAGGATCAAACAGAAACTCCTAATATGGATTTCATTTGCATTCCTGCTGTGCATTCGGTACCCTACTGGCCACTATTCCATGTTGTGTCATTTCTGGGAGTGTGAGGAGATTAGAGAAAATTAGCAACTCCTCCCGGGCAGGAGGACCACAGCCCTAAAAGGTCCAGGAAGGGATTCCAGTCCACACAAAAGCCTCAGGGAAGCTGCACGTCAGACACTGGTTTCTTCTCCTCCCTGGCTAGTTTCTTCCACTTCCTGACTCATCCCAGAATGTCACTCCCTGGAAGAGGGATGGGATGGCAGAGTATTGAGCCTCACCCTTTGCACTGAAACCTGATGTGGCAGTTTTTGCCTGGGAGTGGGTGTGGTGGGGTGTCCTGGGTCACCCCCTTACAAACCTTGTGCCATCACTCACCTCCCTCCTGCTCCAGCAAGTCACTGTTTGGCCTGACATTACAGAGCAGAGTCCTGGCTGTGCTGTTCTCCTTCCCTCCGTGACCCACATGTGGAGAGGGGCTAGCCTTGGTCCCATAGGCAAGTCCCCTTGGTATAGAGCAAAGAACAGCAGTTTTGGAGAATCGCTAACATAGACCCTTACGCTCTGGCACAGGCTACAAATGTTACATGTTTTCCTCTTAGTACCCCCACTTCGTAGATGAAGAAACTGAAGCGAGGAAAGGACAGAGCAAAAACTGAGCCCTGATGTACCTGCTTCTAGCACAGAACCATGGAAGAGTTGCCAATTCATGCGCCTCAGCGGGCCAGGCCAGTGAGTGTGAGTGGGTGGGGCTGGGGCTGTGGTGAATTGAAACACAGGAGCAGCATCTATTTAATACCAATGATGAGTGCAACCCGGGAGGGCAGCTCCGATGTTGCCAGGTTGCCTGATGTTTTCCAAAGAAAAGCTGAAAATTCAGAATTGTTACTTGAAATCTCCTGATTTTTTTTTTTTTTTTTTTTTTTTTGAGATAAGATCTGACTCCGTTGTCCAGGCTAGAGTGCAGTGGTGTGACTACAACTTACTGCAGCTCCTGGACCCAAGTGATCCTCCTGTCTCAGTCTCCTGAGTCGCTAAGACTACAGGTGTGCTCCACTGCACCTGGCCAATTTTTTTCTTTTTAGTTTTTTGTAGAGAAGAGTTTTCACTATTGCTACCCGGGCTGGTCTGAAATTCCTCCTGGCCTCAAGCCATCCTCCTGACTCAGCCTCCCAAAGCACTGGGATTAAAGACATGACCCACATTGCCTGGTCTATTATTACTGATGGTTTCCATTCATCTCCTGTCTGTTCTATTAGGACTCTAAGTGAAAAAGCATCTGTAATTCAGGGTATTCATTATGTGACTCTGACAGGGATCAGACCCACCCAGGGGATCTCCCACAGGCCAGGTCTCTGGACTCAGTGGAGAAAAGCCAATCAAAAAGGCCTGCCCTTCTGAGACAATGCCCTATGACTTTTTTTTTTTTTTTTTTTTTTTTTTTGGTCACTCAGGCTGGAGTGGCATGATGTTGGCTCACTGCAACCTCTACCTCCCAGGTTCAAGTGATTCTTGTGCTTCAGCCTCCTGAATAGCTGGGATTACATGTGCCCCACCACCAGACCCGGCTAATTTTTATATTTTTAGTAGAGACAGGGTTTCACCATATTGGCCAGGCTGGTCTCCAATTCTTGACCTCAAGTGATCCTCCTGCCTCAGCCTCCTAAAGTGCTGGGATTACAGGTGTGAGCCACAGCGCCCGGCCACCATGACCTACTTATGATAGAAGATAGACATAGGCTGCTTTTTGATCAAGCCCTTGTTTGAAGAATGGTTAAGAGAATTTTCTGTTAAGTGGGGGCATAGGTTCAAGTATGTTAAGGTAAGTGCCATGAACCTTGGCTTCTAATCCCACTAACTAACCATGCAGCTCTGGAAAGTCAAGTTACCACTGAACCTCAATGCTGTCAACTCTCATATGCCCATGTCTGTCATTCTTTTTTTTTTCTTTTTCTTTTTTTTTTTTTTTTTGAGATAAGGTCTCGCTCTGTTGCTGAGGCTGGAGTGCATTGGTGAGATCTCGACTTACTGTAACCTCTACCTCTTAGATTCAAGAAATTCTCCCACCTCAACCTCCTGAGTAGCTGGTATTACAAGCACGTGCCACCATACCCAGCTAATTTTTGTATTTTTAGTAGAGGTAAGGTTTTATCATGTTGACCAGGCTGTTCTCGAACACCTGACCTCAAGTGATCTGTCCACCTTGGCCTCCTGAAGTGCTGAGGTTATAGGCATGAGCCACCTCTCCTGGCCCCATCTGTCATTCTGAAGTCTCAAAGTAGTTTTAATGCTCAAATGTAACCATGTACTTCAAAGTGCTTTGTGAAATATACAACATCACATCAATGCTAATAGAATAAATAGATTTTCTTTTACTACCTGAATGTAGGTCAAGCCCTTACCAGGACTATTTCCTCTCTGGCACAAGAATCACCTTCAAGTGGGTTTCCTCTAGGTTCAACATTCTGTCATTCAACAAATATTTATTCCACGCCTACAACACACCAGGCATAATTGAGCAAAAATACGATGGAGGCGAAAGAAACAGCCATGTGGATATCAAAAGGAAGGGCATTCTGTGTAGAGGGAATAGCCAGTTCAAAGGCTCTGGGGTGGGAGTGTGGGTTATGATTATTGAACGAATAGCTAGGAGATCAACGTGGCCAGAGTACAAGGAATGAAGGAAAAGTGGTAAGAGATGAGGTCAAAACAGATTGGGTCTTTTTGTTTGTTTGTTTTTGAGACTGGGTCTTGCTCTGTCACCCAGGCTGGAGTGCAGTGGTGCGATCTGGACCCACTGTAGCCTCAACCTCCTGGGCTCAGGACTCACCCACCTCAGCCTCCTGAACAGCTGGGACCATACGTGCATGCCACCACAGCCGGCGAATTTTTTTACATTTTTTGTAGAGATGGGGTTCTCCATGTTGCCCAGGCTGGTCTTGAACTTGGCTGGTCGTGAACTCCAGCACTGAAGCAATCCACCCACCTCAGCCTCCCAAAGTACTGGGATTACAGGCATGAGCCACTGCACCTGGCCACTTTTTTGTTTTGTTTTTTAGACAACACAAGGTCTTGGTCAGCTACTCTGGAGGCTGAGGCGTGAGGATCACTTGAGTCTAAGTGTTCAAGGCTGCAGTGAGCTATGGATTGCAGTGGTATGATCCTAGTTCACTATAGCCTCAAACTCCTGGGCTCAAGCAAACCTCTCACATCAGCCTCCTGAGTAGCTGGGACTACATGGGTGTGCCACTACACCTGGCTAACTTTCTTAGTTTTATTTTTGTAGAGACAGGATCTTGCTATGTTGCCCAGGCTGGTCTTAAACTCCTCGGCTCAGGTGATCCTCCTGCCTTTGTCTCCCAAAGCTCTGGGATCACAGGTGTGAGCCACCACACATGTCCATATGTTGGGTCTTAATGCTTCCTGGATTCAACCATGTTTCAGAGCAACTTGCTTCATCACTTATCAGCTATGTGATGCTGGGAGAGTCACCTACCCCTTATTATTATTATTTTTTTAGATGAAGTTTCACTCTTGTCGCCCAGGCTGGAGTGCAGTGGTGCAATCTCGGCTCACTGCGACCTCTGCCTCCCAGGTTCAAGCAATTCCCCTGCCTCAGCTTCCTGAGTAGCTGGGATAACAGACACACACCACCATGCCTGGCTAATTTTTTTTTTTTTTTTTTTTGTATTTTAATAGAGACGAGGTTTCACCATGTTGGTCAGGCTAGTCTTTAACTCCTAACCTCAGGTGATCCACCTCCCTTGATCTCCCAAAGTGCTGGGATTACAGCTGTGAGCCACCATGCCCAGCCTTGCCTACCCTTTCTGAGCCTCACTTTTCTCATCTGTGAGATGGACATAACCATGCTCATTCAGCAGCACTAGTTCCCTCCCTTTCTTCTTGGTCTTTCTACCTTGATTCCTTGGGCAATGGCAGCAGCAACATTGGCTTCTTTTTCATCTGCCTGCACCAGAAGTTTCTTTGCATCAGCTTCTCTCGTCTCTGCTTCAATTTTCACCATCATCTTGGCAGTTTCCTCAGAGGTGAGGATGAGTTGAGGTTGAAGAGCGGTCAGTTCTCTTTGCATGACCGCTACCTAGCAAGGAGAGAGGTGGGAGGAATCCAGGGTCAGCACTGAAAATGGCAAAGTAGACAAGAGTTGAAAGGATTCTTCAACCTATGACATAAGCAGAAAATATGTACTAATGATTTTGACATGGTCCTGGGTACAGATTTGTTTCCTAGTGATTATCTCACAGGTTTTTCAACACAGTTATTGAGTTTACACTCTGTGTTGTGGTTACCAAGCACTGTGCTAGGCACTAGACATGTACTTGTAAATTTAAAAAGTTTTTAAAAACTATGTCCTCCCTCACCGAGTCTATATTGTAGTGTTGGGGGTAATGGGAGAGAGAGAAAAGCAAGTTAAGAATTTATTTATTTATTTGACAGAGTCTTGCTCTGTCGCCCAGGCTGGAGTGCAGTGGCACAATCTTGGCTCACTGCAACCTCCGACTCCTGGGTTCAAGCAATTCTCCCGTCTCAGCCTCCCAAGTAGCTGAGACTACAGTCACACGCCACCACGCCTGGCTAATTTTTGTATTTTTAGTAGAGATGGAGTTTCACCATGTTGGTCAAGCTGGTCTCGAACTCCTGAACTCAGGTGATCCATCCGTCTCAGCCTCTCAAAATGCTGGGGTTACAGGCGTGAGCCACTGCACCCAGCCAAGAAATTTTTTTTAACTACATTTTTTTGGGCTTGTAATCCCAGCAATTTGGGAGGTAGAGGTGGGAGAATCACTTGAGCCCAGAAGTTCAAGACCAGCCTGGGAAACATAGTGAGACCCAGTCTCTACAAACTTTTTTTTTTAAGTTAAAATATATTTTTTTCTTTTTTTGAGATGGAGTCTCACTCTATCACCCAGGCTGGAGTCCAGTGGTGAGATCTCAGCTTACTGCAACCTCTGCCTCTTGGGTTCAAGCAATTCTCCTGCCTCAGCCTCCCGAGTAGCTGGGATTACAGACATATGCCACCACACCTGGCTAATTTTTGTATTTTTAGTAGAGATGGGGTTTCACCATGTTGGTCTTGAACTCCTGACCTCA